CAGAATTCCCCAGCTAGCATGGCTGGCTGGGGGAATTCTGGGAGTTGAAGTCCACACATCTTCAAGTGGCCAAGGTTGAGGAACACTGCTCTAAGGTGCTTTTCAAAATGAGTGAGTAGCCTATATTGTTAAGGCTAATTATTCACAGCATAGGAGACTAGGAGTGGGGAGAACCAGGTTCCAGTCTCCCCTTAGCCCCAGCAACTCCCATGGGAATTTTGGGTCAGTCCCTCCCTCTTAGCCCAGTCTACCTCACAGGGCTCTTGTGAGGTTCAATGAGAAGAAGAGGCACTATTTACATTGCCTTGAGTTCTGAAAGAAAGGTGGGAATATAAAGGGGGCAACATACCTGTTATTTCTCTATTGCCGAACATGTCATTTAATTCTAAGCTCACTCTATGTTGAAAGGGAGAACTATCTTGCTGGATTGAAAAGAAGGAATGAAAAAAAAATACATTGTTTTATCCTTAACAATAGATTCCAAGTGGGCTTTCAAACCAAATGAGTGACACCATGTCATTGTTTCTTCCATTATTTGGGGTACGGTAAAACCACCTAATTTCCTGCTGATGAAGTCACTTCTCAACTTGGTTAACTGAAATTATCCAGGCTTGTCTAACTTTTTTCAAGCTGAGGGCCACTTTGGGATGGCATGCCAGAGGCCAGGAACAATGAACAAACAGGCAGGACCAGAATAAAAATACAATTGAATTAAAATTAAAATGGATTAAATTAGTCAAGTACAGGTCATGTGATAACTTCCTATGGATGTTATAATTTCCCCCTTCCATTGCATTAAAATTGCAATGTGGTTGCAATTTTTGGAGGGTTTCTGGAAATTGCATTCAAAGCTGTATGCAACCCAGGAGCTCAGACTGTGCTCCTCTACTATAGTTTATCCAAATAAGATTTGGATATTTCTAGGAATGATACAATCTAAGGGTTTATGAGATATGACATGGTCCTCATCTGAAGTGCAGTAAATTCAATTTAGACATTTTTGGCTGTGCCAAAGTTTACGACCATGGAGGTCTACTTCTGGAGGAGGTTGAGACAGACAGTGAGTAGGTGAGGAGCAGAACCACAGCCTCTTTGTGGTGAGCTGATTCTTAAATTTTCTCCTGTCAAGGAATCTTTTAGACTATTTGGCTGTCAAAGAACTCTTATGTGACTGTCATAACCATGATTTTATGGAGCACATGAATACTTGGGGTATCTTCTGGAGCTTGTAATAGTATTAGCCAACAGTACCAGAAGTCATAATTATACTTTATAAATGGGAATGAAATTTAGAGCTCCACTTAACCCATAAAATATGGGTCACACATGATACCCCAGCACCTAATATGTAGCCCACATCACTGAAAGTGCACCAACCACTGAAAATCTATAGTAAAATGGCTGGATTTTGGTGGTGCAATCTTGGGCTGTTTTTCAGGCCATCCTTAACTCTTCCCCACTGAACAGCAGATCAAAATTCTGGGCCACGGAGGACCTTCGAAAGGTCAGAAAACTGAGTACAGACAGTGACATCTCAAAAGCTGTCTACCCAGTAACAGGAGATGATCAGTGGCTAATTTGTCCCCCATGGATAACTTTCTTTCAGAGAAGACTGCCCAGAAAAACAATATTTCAGAAAAAACAATTCTGGGAAGGATGATTACTATGAATGATTTGGTCATAGAAGAGCCTCAAATAAGCTTTTTCAGCTTACGGGGAAATCACCTGCTCTACTTTTTCAGCTTTCTTTAATCACGTGTAGGAAAATAGGTATGATCTGAAGATCCATGCATAATATGTCTTCTCTTCCATAACAGCAGGTACAGAGGAGGAAACACTTCCTACATCTGCACCTGAAGTTCCAAAACACGTCTATAAGCCTCTGGCTAGTTGAAAATCTTCCCCAATGTATTTCAGCATGATTGCAATGGGACCCAACTGTTCTCTCCATTAGAAGGAATGGCTTTAATTGGTGCCAAGGCTCTATCTCACAGCGATTGAAATTGCAGCAGTTAAATGTTTAAATGCCAGGATGTTTATCATTCCATGCATAAAAACGGAGGATCTTGAATGAGTCCATCACAATGAAAACGAGGTTATTGCATAAAGGTCCCTGGACAGTCCAAGGTTGCAGGGTATGAAGGCTCACCTTCAGTGCCTCTAAAAACAAAATTTAAGCAGATTCAGGAGAGCAAGCCATTCAGTGTGGAATGCATGTGATCAAGACCATCATTTAACGTGGCATGAAAACATTCTGCAGGAAGCAAATGAGAGGGTCAGAAAAAATTGCCTATATCCTAACCTAGGCGAGTATTGGGGTGATCCTTTGGTTGAATACTTCTTATGCCGGGGAGTTGAAGAGGGTGGGGGACCCACAATCATATCTATCCTGGCAAAAATAAACAAGAAAAAACACACCAGCAGAACACACAATGAAGCAACATGTTGGAGAAAAAACTGATTGGGAACTGGCAGCAGAAGAAAACTTTTAAAATCGAGATGGCCGAGAGAAGAAAAGAAAGGGGAAACTTATCTCTGCTCAGAAAAGAAAGTAGTAACCAGACAATCTGATCATTTGGGAACGCACCCAGAGGTAGTTGAAAAGTGGTGGAATTTCAGCAGCAATGGAATAATCCTTCTTTGTGAAGGATCAAAAGGATCCTCTTTTTAAAGGATTCATTGTTCAGCAATGAACAGGCTAAGCATATGACAGACGAGTTGGAAAATGTATGAAAATATTCCATTGCAACAGCTACAAAAACAACAACTTTACACTCCTCTTTCTATTTAAGTATTCAAGGCTGTTCACACCTGTAAAAATAAAAGCTCCACGCTGTTACAATAGAGGGAAGGCATATCAACTGGTTTTGGGGGGGGGGGAACTTGAACAAAGGCAATGCACGTACGGATGGGGAGGGACAAGAGACCAAAATGAGAAGATCTACTTCCAAAAACAATGAGTAGGAAACAAGGGGTACAGAAAAATACTATAGATTATTGTAGAACCAGCAGTTGAAATTAAAAGTTACTGCGAGCCATCTGTCTCAAAATACACTTTAACTTCTTACCATATTAAAATACAATATATACATATATACATATAATTCAAGTTCACAGTTTATTACAGTCTTAGACCAGTACAAGAAGTTTGTTCATGAGTGACCTCTGTTCACTTATACAACTAAGAAATCTTTCATTTAATACATATTTAGGATACATATATAAGACAACCTGGCACAAAATCATAGGTAGAATTCAGACGTCTTTCATTTAATACATATTTAGGATACATATATAAGACAACCTGGCACAAAATCATAGGTAGAATTCAGACGAAACAGTCCGTGTCTAAGATATAACTAAAATAGTATCTACAATTTACCTAAAATATAATAACATCTAAAATTACAAAAGTTTGATGACACCTAAAATGTAATCATAATATCTAAAATTATATGGAGTTTAATCATGTCTGGACTTATATAAAATGCATCTATATAGCAGGATCTTGCCCTATTAAGGACTAGCAGATCTAATAGTAAAGTTTAATACAGTCTTTGACCAACACAAGTAAAAATCTACCTAAGGACCTTATTTAAGCTAATAGCTATCAGATAACAATAATAAAATATTACGAATTCTAGTAAAATTTGT